TCTTTTTCTAAAGGACACAGAATCAACATGGAAAAAGAASGTTCACAGCTCAGGAATCAGTAGATGTGGCTCCCAATTTTCAGTCTCTTTTCAAAGCTTCCTGTGCAACTACTGACTGGTTGATGTTTAGTACATCAGACTGCCATCAGTAACCATGAAGAACATCTTTCCTTACCTCAAACAAATGTGGGAATGAAGCCCACTGAATAMTGAGGTACTTCTATAAATGAAGTGAATTATAGACTCCTAAATGGACATCTTATTTACAGAGCATTAAAGGAGTGGGAGACGGCAGAAGAGGAAAAAAGTAATAATAAGACTCATGAAGACTTTAATACWTGCAACCATCAACCTCACCAAGTCYGCAAGAACAAAAGGCAAAGCCAGCAGTGTATCACTTCAACATGGGAAACAGAATGAAGGTCAAAATAAAGAAATTTTAGAATTGAGAATATATAGGGATGTTTTAGCTTCTCTTCCAGCTTGAAGTTTAAGTAATTTGGCACAAGCTTTAAAACACTGAAAATTTTTAGGAGACAGGACTTCAAAAGAAAAGGCATCAAAACGTACTCCTCAGCACTGTACAGAAGTAGGACTTTCATTGCCCTGGAAGGGAAAGCAGAAAGTAAAACCCAAAAAGCAAAAAGGACCAGATCATATTTTCTTCTGCTAATTATTCTAATGAAAGCAGTATTAGCACCTGCAGTGAACACACCAGCCACTTTCTGAAGCAAGTGAATGAGTTAATCATAATCAAAAAATTCATTTCTTTTTAATATAATCCTTTCACAACATCTTAGGACACTGATCCAGAAGAAACAAAATTTGCATTAGGAAAGTTTATAAAGATTATTCTCATGCATCCAAGATGAGCTAATGGAGACAGTTTCGACAAACTTCTGTACTAAAAATCTCACTGTTTTCATGGAAAACCATGATTGCAACTGAGGTAGCTTTGATTTAACCCTCACCCTTCTATTTTATTCTTACTAATACTAAAACCTTGTAAGCTCCATTACAGAGGCAGACTCAGAAGGAAATTAATAAAAAATGTTAATATCTAACAAATTAAGTGCTGAATCACAAAATAATAAAAAGAGCATATAAAATGTATCAGCTGAAACCTGACCAGTTCTATCACAAGCCACTTGAAATTTGAAAAAAAAACACAATAAACTTAAATACCTTGGAGACTCCTGTAACACCTGTTTTCCAATAAACAATTTCTTACATGTAGGAAGGTCCTGGACTATTTGTAGAGTTCACTTACCACTGCATTCCCTTCTTTGGGATACCTGAACAGATTCCTATTCAAACACAAATATTTACTCATCATCAGCCAAATATAATATCAATGATATCTAGAAACTCAATTGTCAGATTTTTTTTTTTTTTTTTTCAGAATTTAAATTTTCGTCCCCTGAAGGAAGTCCAGAATCACATGGGTAAAGAGGTGGGTATGGCTCCGTCAACTCTATAAAGGTACCAGATAGAAAACATACGAGCATCACTTTCCTACCATTCTCACTATGAACTCCCAGGTGCCCTCCGGCCGCGTGGCTCCACGGCCRCTCTGCCCCCGGCCTGTGGGGCTGCTGCATGGGGCTGTTGTGAGCGCAGCACAGGACCCAGTCTCAGCCTTGTTAAACCCCAGAGGGTTGGTCTCGGCCCATCCGTCCAGCCTGGCCACATCCCTCTGCACAGCCTTCCTACTCTCAAGCAGATCGGCTCTCCCACCTGGTGCCATCTGCAAATTTGCTGAGGGAGGGAGGAACTAGAGCGAGGCACTGGGATTGGTATTAGGGGGTTAGAGTGAGGGGTTGGGATTGGGGCATTACAGTGAGGGGTTGGGATTGGGGATTAGAGTGAGGGATTTGAGGGAGCTGCACTAGGTCCCAGCAGGGATCAGAGGGAGCCGCAGCCACCCCTCCCGCAGCACTGCATGTGGAACCATCCCTCTGATGCCAACCTCTYGTGCTCACAGCTTGACACCAATGTCACCACAGCTCTGTGGCATCTGCTGGCGGGGCACTGGGGACAAGGCCAATCACCACGCGCAGAGGCAGCTCCCTTGCTTGCCTAAGATGTAGGGGTCTCTAATGCACTGTGCTACACTCAAAAGCTGGCTCCATTCATTCAGGAACTGGATTATAAATAGTTGTAAAGGCAAGGGCAAGACATGCGCCCTTCCAGTGAAGCCACAGCATGAAAGAACCAGACAGTCTGACTGCCACACATGACCTTTACTGCACAGGGCCACATTAGATCTGMTGCACAAGAACAGGATCCTCAATGCACAAAAACACTCAGGCAACGAGGGGATGTTTGTGGTCAACCTGCCTTTAGTTAGATACCATCTTTTCAGTGAGGGAGAAGTTGGCATGTTCCTTGTTCACAAGCACACACAGACCTCTAGCAGTACCAGTGGCTTGTGTTTTATCACCCTGTTAACCACTGGAAACCTGAGCAACGATACTATTTTGCCAGTACAGATGTCCGACCCACAAAAGAATAGATGTTAACCAGTTCAGCATTAAAATTTAACACCTGGCCTGCTTTAAAGTGTTTAATAGTTCACACTATAAATGAACACCGTGTGAAGGTTTTAGTATTTGACTTTGAAAGATAAATTTCWGACTTTTCATTTCAAACCCCAACAACTCATATATTTAGAGCTTGCTTTCATGAAATTACCCAGAATTGGTTTCAGAAATGGCCTTCTATTTCAAAATATAAACAAAAAACTAGGCCCAGGCAAAAAAGCAGGTCACTAATAGCCTTCTTTTAGAAAGTATCAGAGAGTTACTGAGCAACTGCTAGCAACCTAACCAGTAGAGAATAAGATATAAGAAGACTTAAGAATGCACATAGTTTAAATTTTGGGGAAAAAAATGCACTGTTTGCATCCCATCAACTTGAACAATAGTAAACTTTGTCAAATTTCACTTTTCTCTCAGGTACTTGCATTGCACTTACATGTTCAGAATAGGAACGCCAAGGACAAGAGATATTTCACCTGTACACAACGGTTAGAACATTTATCAACATACACCGAGTTCTTACACGAGTTCATGCCGGGCATTCTTGAAAGATGATGGAGAAACGACAACTCCAACATCATGATGTGAAAAAGCTTAAACTTACTTTGCACCTGAAATAAAGCCCTGTTATTTAAGAACCATTATTCCTCACTCCTCACACTACGCACAGGGAAGAATGAGCATCAATACCCATACTTCRCGAGTGCAATAACGTGGCTTGAAAGCCGTTATTCTGACTAAAGTGACACGTACTGAAATTTGAATTTACCTCGGCAATGCACAGCAGAAGCCAGCGGGAAAAGCCCCCATCGCGGGGACGATGGCAGCAGAGAGGCCCCGGGCTTCCCCTGGCCGGGGGCCGGGGCAGGGGGCCCCATGCGGCCCGGCGGGGCGCTCGCCCCTCTCGCCGCCGCTGCCCCGGCCCCGCCACGCGGCCGCTGGGCCCCTTTATCGCCCCGGCGCGGGGGGCGCCTCGCTGCCCGCGCTCCCCGGGGCCGGGGCTCGGCGCAGCTCCCCGGCACCTCTCACCTTTTGGAGAGGTCCATGAGGACCCCCGAGAAGAGCTTCTCTCCCAGCCGGAACGAGACCACGAGGGCGTCCTCGATGATGTGGTCCAGGGTGACCCGCACCTCGGAGCCCGGCAGCAGCGGCGGCGCCGCCACCGCCGCCTCCCCGGCGGCCGGAGCCGCGGGCACCGGGCACTGCGGCTCCACGGCGGCGGCATCAGCAGCATCCGGCTCCTCCTCCTCCGGCCCGCACGGCTCCTCCCCGGGCCCCGGCGCCGCGGAGCCCCCAGTCGCCGGCGGGCAGGGCTGCGGCTCCTCCTCGGGAAGTTGGGGGTGCCCGGCAGGCGGCGGGCAGCGCTGCGGCTCCTCCT